GCATTGCACACGCAAATCTCATGTCAGAGACGAAAGTTGAATGGAGAGGAAAAAAAACGGCCGAACGACGTTTGCTACATTCGAACTGGCAATTCTTAGCCATACAAATTGATTAATTATCTTCTTAAGATTGATTATGTACAGGTTAACCGTTTGTGCATGTGAACACACATCAAAACTGTCCAAATCAGCTTGGATTATACGCGCGTTCGGCAACAGAGTGAAGTGAAACACCGAAAACGAAAATTGTATACACTCATGGCGCATGTGTTGCATCGCACATTGCAAAAGATGTGCAACAAAAAAAAAATCATACCGATATTTTTTGTAAATGGCAAACATACAGGCGAAATTTAATTATAAACTCATGCGCACCTTATTTTCATTCTGATGCGATTGGTTTGCTTGCCATTTTCATGTTTCGAATCATCGAATGTGGCGGACGAACGAAAAAAAACCATCATCATAATCTTTTTCATCCATGCGAATTTACGTAAATCATGCGACTATTTATTGTCGATTGTGACAAACTGTGAAGCACCGACATGTCCATCAACTTATTTCATTTGTACGCATTTACACGAAGAGAAGAAGAAAAAAAAGCATACAAACAAACAGAGAAATATGAGCGTGACTTTTCTGCCCATCAACGAGGTGAGTGGCAATATATACAGAAAAAAAAACGTAAGAGGATTTTCGTGAAAAATAAGATCATTCATGCCCGGTATCGTGATTATCATGCATTCATACGTGAAAGAGAAATAAACTATACGTGGCTAATCGTAAGCGGTAGTTCTCATACGGGAATCAACGCACAACAGGTTGCCGATCACTTGCACAAAGCTTCAGTTCCAAGCTCGCAATTTCTTTTATAAAATGTAAATTCGCATTCAACTGACTTTGGTTTATGTGCTATTTTTTCGGTTTTTGATCGCAAGGAATAGATAATGTCACACTGTTTGTACGAAGTTTATGCGTGAAAAATTAACATTGGAGGAGAAAGGGTAGCTCGAATGAAATTCGGCGATGCTCTTACGAAGGATTTTTCTTTTCGACAGCTGCAAATTTCGAATATTTGGAATTTTGCTTCAATTCTACTTTGCTTTGGATGAGTCGTTGAAAACTTTCCTGAAATACGATGACATATTGCCTCATAAATCGCACATAAAATTCAAATTGCATTGAGTGGCATTTGCGTTCGGAACCTCCTTTTCGGGAATAAAAAACAGGATCGTTTTTTTTTGTTGCCAATAAATCCACAAAATTGCGGAATAAGAATGTTTTTGCAACAGGTGAAAATGCATTTGAATTGTTAAAATGCTGGATTCATCTACGAAGCGAGTGCTGATTCTATTTGTTCGAATCGCCAGCCATATATTTTAAATGGCCAAAATAGACAGCTACGGATGATTACCTGGGCAATTGATTTATTTAGATTGAAGTGTTGCCCATTAAATAAAACCGTCATGTTTCGTTAGAATTGATTTTCGTAACGGAAAGGTCGTCGTTTGTCTGGAATTTCTATGAATTTGAGCGTTTTTTTTCTTCTTGCGTATATACATACGTTTGGCAAATCTCTCATATCGAATGTTGAACATTCAATTGTTGCGTTTCGTTTCGACGGGGAGCCTCTACCGTACAACACGCTCGTGTCGTTCATCTCATCAGTGTTTATGGGTGCATTTCACTGAAACACACGGGATGCTGTGAATTGATCAGGCGAACAGAAAACGAGCCCATAATATTTGAAGAAATGCAACGAGAGACAAACAAACAAACGCAGCACAAAACGATGGAATGAAAACGGCAACAAACGCGCGCGCGAGCGCGCACACAAGAAAAAATCAAACAAAACAAAAATACTCTGTTATGCGATAACATTGGAAAGGAATCTATTCTGACAGCAGCATGTGCATTGCCATTGCATTACAATCAGTTTTTGCCAGTCAGCTACCAAAGGAATAAACAACCAACTGTGAATTTTACATTATTTTAATGGCCATATAATTTTATTGTGCAATTCAACAAGGTGTAACGCAACCAACTATTTTTAATAGTCGTTATTTTAAGTCTCTTGTCTCTCGCTAGCCGGAGCGTTCACATCTTTTTCGATATCGGGGCTACAATGTAATGCTTTTGTTTTACCATTTTGAATTTGGTTATGCTGTTAATATACAAAAGAGTAATTTACCTATCGAATTCGAAGGATCATGTTATTGTATTTCGCTTTTTTTCTCTTCTGTTTCGTTTGTTTGTTTCATTGCAATTTTGTTGCCGTTTGATGTGAATAACTGCACATTTTGCATACAATATAAATGCACATCACAATGACAAGAGGAAGAAGGCAACGACGATGAAAGTAATATATGCTGATTGTGTAAGGCTCTTTCTTCTCTCTCTCTCTCTCTCTTATGCGCTCTCAAAATTTTCTATTGCGTGCGCACTCGCGCTATTTTCGTTTGTTTTCCTTTATTTTTTCGTTTCATTCCTTTCCATTATTTGTTTATTTCAAAGCTTCATCGTATTTAATTTCGATGCGAAATGCAAATCAGAAACGGTAGAAAAAGGCCAACGAAATCATGTGAATGGTTTGATTAAAAAGCACTCACGCCAACTCTGTGACATATCTCATACGGATTGATATAACATCGTGTATGCAAAAGAACAAAGAACAAAGCAACGAAAGCGCGCGCACAGTTTCTCTGTATCTGTCTCTGTCTTTCTCCCTGTCTGTCTCCCAGCATACAACCGATGTGGTGCATATACTTTACTTGATCTTATCCATTAAATCGGGATCCATGATATATACAAATCGCCTGTTTGCCAGTGGACAAATCGATTTTTTGCGCTTGCACTCGTCTTTTGCCAGACGAACGAGATAGACATTTTGGCAAATATCGACAGAAACGAGAGGAAATGTGAGTGTGAGAATAATATGTGAAATTCGAACGGATTGAATGGAGGAAAAACTGTACAAATTTGTTGAAAAAAAGGTAAAAGAAGAAGGTAATCACAAGATTAATACTAATAGTTTTAAAAATTCAATTGAATTTATGTGGCGAATGATTGCTGTTTGAATGTATGAGTAGCGACCATCGAATAGAGCTCGTGGATTGCGATCAAATATCTTCCTGATTATTCGGATGTTCACATGATCAGACCGAACATCCTTTTTGAAAAATGTGATTGACACACGCACACTGCTCTGCATCACATACACATCACTTAACCGTTCCGAATTCACGCGACCACGGGCGAAATCAACATATTCCCACCAAAGCAAGCCAAACTGGACAATTTACGATTTTTCTCCCAATTGATTGCAATTTCTTTCGAAAGCCAAGCGTTTTTTGATTCATTTGCAAATGACCACTGAAACTCTCATAAAATTCAATTGGAGTTTATCGTATCGAATTCACGTACGATTCCATTCATTTCCAACATTTGTATTTATCGTCATATCGCATGGCATATCGTCAAAAAAAAAATATGTGCGTTCTCACAATAGAAATTGAATGACGAAAAAAAAGTAGAAATCAGAAACAATACGCAACCATTCGTTACACTACTGCGGAATATTAAAATATATTTACGATTAATAAGAATGGGAAATGCGATGTTCTCCGTTTTTATTCTGATTTGGCGTGATTTGCTGCACACGATGATGTCGTTGTCGTAGTGGTTGTTGTTGCTGCTGCTGCTGCTGATGCTGCTGCTGCTGTTGTTGTCGATGAACGAAGCAGTCAGCATCGTGGTTCGACCGACTGTAAGCAGCCAGTATTTGTACACTGTATCTATTCAAATGGTTTGTGCGAAAAATGCCGGAAAAGATTGCGATTGCGATTTTTAGGCAGAGATAAGTATTTCGTTTTGCATATTGCACATGCGAATGTGCACAGTGACTTGGCGATATCTGCCGTGCGATTAGAGATATCCCGTTGTGTTTGTTTTATACTAATTTACCAAACAGTTAATTTTTAAGTTTAGGACTTCTTCGCTTCGGCGGCTGCATCACGATGCCACATTTCACTTCATGCAATGCTATGTTGGTATTGTTGCTATTGTTGGCCAAAGTGACACATGACCGTGGCGCACAATGAGAATGAGTAGAGGAAAAAAAGCATCTCTTTAAATTATGATGGAACTCGAATAAGCGGGTCTCAGTGGTCAGTCATCACACAACATGAACGAAACTTGTACTCGTTCGCTAACCTCGAAATAAAATATGTATACGTGAATGTGTGTTTGCACCACAGCAATGAGAAATCGATTAAAATTTCCCAACCATAATACAAATATATATATATATGTGTATCTATGAATGTGCAACGGTCATTTGGGAATTATTAATTTAATCCATTCAAAAACCGTTATCATTATCAAATAACGCACGCAGAGTGTCTTAGATTTTTATGCTTGTACAGGAGCTGCAACGTTTCGTTTGTATCGTACAATTGCATCTCTCTACCTACTGTCATGTGTGTGTGTGTATGTTGTACGTCTCAACGAATGCAGGCCTTTTTTATATGCAGGCTTAAGGCTTTTTTTTATGATGAATGCTAAACCAAATGAACGATGACGTCTACAGAGGGAGAGAGACAGAGAGGAGAAAAAAAAAACCGATACGTCTCTTCTTCTTTTTCACATGGTGATGTGAAATGTGATGCTCATTCCGAGCCATCGGAATAAAGCTGTGACATTATGAATATAAATGAAATCGTGTTGTTTGCATTGGAAAAATGATTACTATCAAATTTTGTCAGCGCCCGTTTCAAATCAAATGTTGAAGTTTCAATAGTTGGGTTTTTGCTTTTCTCTTCTCTTCCTTTTATTCCCTTTACCTGGACTGATTTATTCACTTGGAACGTAACGTTGGTACGCAATGAGTTTTTTTTAAATCAAAAAGGATGTTGCAATGTTAAAGTTCAATCCTTTTCAATCGAATCGGACAGTTTTGAATAAAATTAGAAAGAAAGAAAAATCTTATCAATGTGACTTACCTTTGTTGTTGCGAATGATTTTGGTGCGAGACCGTGGCTATTTCAGTGTCCAGTGATTGTTGAGCGGCAACAACGTACACATTTGGCCCCTGAACGATAACTTGATGTGGTCCTTCGAGTAAATTTAATTCGTTTCCCGTATACAACTCAAGACTTTTCGGATCGGCGCTGGTCGTATAAATGACCGTTTTTCCACCGTCTTCATAAATCAAATCCAGCGGCTGCTGTTTGGCATCATCAGCTGCCGTTGCATAAATCGGCACTTTTCCATTATCATAAATGTGATTATCTTTCACCGTTTCCACATAGGTTTTGTCACCGTGCGTATAAATAATATGGCCTTTTCCTTTGCTCTCATCAATTGCACCATCGATTTCGGGCGGATTTGCCGCCGAAATGAGAACATTTGCCGATGCATCGACTGGCACAGACGAGCCCAATTTGTTACTGGTATCCGTGTATTGCAACACAGACGTTGCAATTGGATTGGCACTTGGAGTATAGACAATTTCGGTTGCACCATCATTTTGTTGATGGTCAATTTCTGATTCAATCAATTTTTGCGCCGCTTGCGGAGATTGTGATTGCGATTGTGACTCCTGCGCTTGGGGAGATTCCTCTGGAGTTGTTTGCTGTACGAAATTCAATGGGCAAAGGGCAGAGTAAAAGTTAATTTCGGATCGATTTCCTCCTTAATTTTTATTTAATTATATTTTTTTTAAAAGAATATCCGTTATTAAAGGCATCTTATCTCTTATGGAAACAAGGAAATTTGGATGTTTTGAAAATGATCAACAATATTACGAGGAATATGAAATTAAAACAGGAAAAAAATGCTGTAATTACACTTACCGTTACAATGCGCGTTATAATATGTTCACCGTTTTCGTTGCGAGTCAAAATATGATGCTCGCCATTGATATATTCGCGACTAATAATTTGTTGGTCACCGGTTGCGCCGATCAATCTTAAAATTTGCTCATCGGTGAAATCTAATTTCGGTATAAATCCTTGTTGATTACTGTAGCTACTTGAAGAAAAAAGAACAAACCACAAAATTCGCCATGAATCAATTGCATTGTTTGTGAGATCATCAAATTGATTGCAAAACTGGTGAATAAACTTAGTTTGCCAAAAATAAACGCATAATCTCGTTAAACATGATTTATTTACCATATTGATTCATTGTCGTCGTAATTTTCGGATCGTGGATTTTTCTTCGTTTCATCGTCTGAATCGCGAGACAGCGCGGTTGGCTGTTGCAACGTTGATGTATGTGAATTCATTTGTAAATCTAAAACGTTCACATTCGTCATTGTGGTCAATTCGGGACGTGGACTATTTGCGGCTGGATGACTTTGACGTGAAGCTGGTGACGCTGAAGATCCTGTAATTAACATATCAAAAAATGATGTACCAAAATTCGATTTGGATTCGTTTGCTTCGATCGAAATTGGCTTCAAAACGAGAACAATGATTTCTAAGTGCAATACACTCTCGCGAAATTCAATCAATAAATGCAATTCGAGTAATAATTTCGATTAACATGGCGTCGCCGTACATTTCGACTAAATGCATCTAACGGTGTTCAGGAGTACGATCAAATGAAAACGGTGATTTCGAGCAATTTCAGCAGCTATAGCAGCAACAAAACAAAGATTATCAACCGAAAGTCAGATTTAAGCGGTTAATATTATTGTGCCGAGAGATTGCATTGTACTTAGAAAAAAAGCGCTCTTTTGTGCAATAATGGAGTAGATTCTTGTTTCTTTTGCATATTACGCTGGCCAGTAAGAGCCATTTTGCAAATATACATACTTAAATCTTCACCGCCAGCAGACTGAATGATTTGTTGTTGCTGATGTGCTGATACTGGTGATGCAGACATTGTGCAAATTTGAGAAGAGAAACAAAATAAGGCGGTTCGTAAGTGTGCAGCAAGTGATAAATGTAAAGCCGATGAGACACCCGCCTTTAGAATATTTATTGGTGCCAAATTTTTTGTTCCATTCGGTTTTACGGCAACAAATGGTATTTTAAATTATAGTGGATGTGTATCAGACGGGCACACTTCAATTAATTTTATTTGTCACGTTTATTAATTAAATGTTTTTTTTTCTTTCTGTGCAAGTGTTTTCTTTGTGTCTTTTTATTTCGTTGCTATCCTTGTCTCGTATTGGATTCTCCTGTGGAAACGATGCAATAATATATAATAAATATCTTTAGATAAAGTAGACGTTAGATCACAAAATTGGAATGCGATTGAGAGATGAAGAAGTGAAGATGGAGCACACCAATGAATTATGAAATGAATGAATCAATGTGATCAGAACTTATGGGGTTTGTTTAATTTTTTGTTTTTTTTTTGCTTTCGTGTATGAGTGAGAGAGTTTTCTCGGGCATGGAAGTTTATTTCGCCTACCTTAAAGATTAATTTTTCATCAGATTCGAAATGTTTGTTGGCATTCGAGTTTCGTTGGCACGGCCTAATAATTGCTTCTGTTTTTCTCTTTCTATTTCTCTCTCTCTCTCTTGACACGCAGCCAGTGTCGCTTTGTGTCCGTTTCGAGTGTGTAGGATGACGGTCGATTTTGTTAATGCTTGTTACCACTGTAAGCCAATGCAAATGTGCTCTCGATCATATCGTTGGCAAGATATGCATATTACAAATTAATACTTGCGCTAATGTACATTTAAGTACATGCATTTATTAAATTATTTTCACATTCGCTTCGTTTGCGCATTCGATATAATGAAACTGATGCAAGCGACAAAAAAAAGCATCGCAATAGTTTTTCTTTGTAGTTATGCTCTTTTTTTGTGTTGTGTTTTTGGATTGCAAGCAGTGTGCACAGCACACACCGCATTTATCTCTTGAATATCGCTAACTGCAAAATGACGACTGCTATTTTTACTTCTTCTTCTTCTTTTCTCTATGCACTTCGTTTTTGGTTTGATCTTTTTTTTTCTTTCTCGTTAGTGTTCGTAGATGTTGCACCGGGTTTTCGGGCCGATTTGAAATTCTTCTCTGTCGCTTATATGTTAATTTTCTGTCTTACTCAGTCATTCGTCGATCGCATTCAATTCAGCATACAAGTAACACCAATTCGCATTTATTCAGAAGAAGAAAAAACTATTTTTCGCCGTTGGTTATTTTCGCATGTAAAATAATCGATAAACAGTTTCGTTTTATTGAAAGTCTATTGAACGAAAACCAATATTTTGTTGCTATAGTAATACGCTATGGTCGAAAACAGCGCCGCGAATAGAATAAAGCGAGCAACAGATAAAAATCGACAGAAGGAGTGAGCAAAAAAAAAAAACAAAATGTACGTGGAGAAACCGATTTTGAGTGAGAGACAGAGGAGGAAAGCGAGATATGGTGTAGCTGAATGGTGCAGCGCACAGTTCAAGATAGGAGATTGTGCAAGTGTTTGTCAGGTACAAACGCCGATTTTTTACGCCAGAGATCGATTCAATTGCTTTGTGGCACTTTTCTGATTGTTCACTGTTCCAGCGTTTTTCCGCAATAACTCAAATTAACTTATGAATTATGAATTCATTTAATTTGCGCGCACTTACAAACGAATATATGTCCCCGTGGATTTTGCTTTGAAAACACATACACACGTACACTCAATCACTAGCTCACTTCGACACACCGATCGATCGACACCGTCCGATGATATTCACAAAAGCTCTCACAATGTTGGATTAAGCACATGAAATTCCACCAGTGGTGCTAATATCAGTTCTCTGGGTTCATTTGGATCGGTGTGCTTGTTGTTGAAAAATGATATTTCGATGGAAAAATGGGATTATTTATCGGTCATTCAAGTGTTATGGCAGCGTAAATATCGTTGAGATTACTCAACGCCTGTATTTTGATTTGGACGTAGATTGTTCATACGTTATTATGGTTATTACATGCGTAAATATGTGATTTTTTTTTCGTTGTTGTTGTCGTTTTTGTACAATATATATATATGCACACAAATACACGGACACAAGTTGATCGGTGCAATAGTTCCTCGTGTATCGCCTTCAATATGTGCATACAATAACACTAATTTACTTATTCATTACATACGGCAAAAAGGCACATTTATATTTCGAATATTGACGCCAGTAGAAGCAAGGCTTCAGTTCGAACAGCGGATTGAAGAGTCTATCTTTATACTTGTTTTAGCTTAATATCGCTTGGCACACGGATTTCGGACGGCGGGTTTATTTATTGTATCACACTAAATTTTCATCGCTTATCGAGAAATATTCTTCTCTTCACACGGTTATGGTTTTAAACAATTTTCAAGCTTTGTTTATTGTTCTTTTTCATTGAATAATTGTAAATTACTATTTGCACTGTTTTCCTGCTTTTGATTGGATTTTTTTTCAGTTGTCTTATTTAGTCTAACTCTTTAAAAACTTATTGCGATTTGATAGAGATTATGGTATTTCCGTGAATTTGTCTACTATTTTTATTTTTTTTTTTTTTTTTTGCTTTATGATTTATATTGGCAATTTAAATTTTATGCAAAAACTCGTTTGTTTTAAACACAACTATTATATGATAATAAATTTATGTATATATTTTGCTTTTGTTTCTGTTAAACGAATAAAATAATATCTTTTTCTTTTATATATGTATAAAAAAAAACCTTATTCGATGTATCGTAATAGACTCGGATTTTTTTTAAATAAAAACTAATGTAAAAAATAACACGATTTATGTATTAAACGTTTTGTGCGATTTGTAAAAAAAAGTGTAGATTTTGATCGAATAGAAATGATTATTTGTTAGTTGAACTAAGGGTTGGACGGAACTAATTATTTTATTGATAAAAATTGGCTGGATAATTACATTCTAATTGTTTCTATGTGCGTGTGTCTCTTGTGTATGTGTGTGTGTTTGTTGTTCTGTTATTATTATTTTTAATTTGCTAGTGTACCATTTGAATGCGATGTGATATCAATTTGAATCGTTGAGCAATCATTGGTTTTTGTTTGACAGTTTTCTGTGCATTATTTGTACTAAATGGAAAACACATTTTTTCTGCATTTAATTGTTCTGAATTGCTTCGAAAATGGCACCACGATTAATTCATTGGATTTTTTTTTGTTGTTTAATTATTGAGCAAGAATTCGCGGCACAATATCACATATGTATTTTTTTATCAAACTTTGTCCATTTGATCGACTGGAAACTGTTCCACGGCCACATAAACGTATGCAAGGTTAATGCATTACGCGTGTATTGAGTCACGTTCATTAGCTGCCACCGCTTATGACGAAGATGCTGTTGATGGTGATGATGATGATGATGATGATATGATCGCAGCTAATTAAATTTACCGATTAAACGATGACTCGCCTCAATAGTTTGTTTGTTTTTATTGTTTCGATCTTCGAACAATTAGCACAAATTCGATTTTTGATAAAATTGTTGAAATTTCTTCGTTTTGGCACCCGATTCTTGGTACGTTTCCACTCAATCTCTGCAATGAAATGAGTAAAATGCAAACAATTAGAATGATTACTAATAAGTGTATTGCTCAAAATTATAATCACATAATAACTGTATACGTTTGAAACATTGGACGTTGAGGCCAAGGGCTTTTAATTGCTGTCGATAAAAGTCAAATTAAGTGCACAATTTTGCCGACTTTTTTTTATATATATATAAATGTACTTGTGCTTATTTTGAAACGTTTTTTTTTTATAGTTTCAAAATATGGTAATAATATGAGAGATATCCATAAAATTTAATTCTGATATACAAGCAATGCAATGAAACTTAATCTCTGTGTGCAAAATTCGAGTGTGCACTTTAAATTTGGCCATATATTTTGACGAGAGAGGAAAAAAAAGACAGTCTCAAGTGAAAGGAGACCACATTGATTGTTTACTCGCGTGCATTGCACCTATGTTGTTGCCGCGCTGTTGTTGTTTTTGTTAACTTTTCTCTCTGCCGTTCGATTCTCATGTCATAATTGTAAAATGTAATCCTTTTGCATGCGCCAACCAAGCTATACGGTATAAAACGAACGAAAAAAGTAAAAGCATTGCCACTTCATTTGAAAAACGTGTCCATTTTTCGCTATAATTTACTTAATGGGCCAGATTTGATGTGCAACTTTCCATATTTACACACACACACACACATTCGGAACTCCGATACATACGCAAACATTCGAACTTGAAATATCCTCTTATCAAGAGAAGCCGAAAACCGAGACGAAGGCTAACCGGAGTCTTTTTTTTTAGAGGAAAAACATAAAATGAGCGTAGAATAGTTTTGGTGTTTTTTTTCGGTTTGAAGGTCGGCAATCGTTCAAACGCCAAGGATGCAGACGTCGAGCACGTCGAAATGAGAACATAATGGATTTTACCATTCCCGGGGAATGAGTAGTAGTCAAATGATATGGTTTTTCTTTCAACAGATGTGAATACGATGTGTGGCAAGAGTCAGTTTACCACAAGCCAAAAGAATTGGAACCAATACAAGTGACACCATTAGTATTGTGTACTCTTGGATCGATTTCTGCATTCGGCATCAGCGTCGAACCACCGTAGCGTGCCATCACCGATGTCAAACGCAATTATATTGTGGCAGAACACGAAGGCGCTGCATTTGATATTGATCGGCCATTATTTGAAGCCAAAATCTTTTCAACACTTTACAATGACGTACTTCTAAACGAAACTGAAAATTGTTACGGATTTTCATCGCAATCAAGTAATTTATAATTCAGCAGTGAGCTTACGATCGTAATTATTGCTTACTCGCATGAGTTACGAATATAAATTCAATTTTTTGTTCCTCGTTTCACATGTGTCAAGCCACTATTTCTATTAATGTGAAAACATTAATTTACGTACATAGATAAATCAACGCAAATTGATCATTCATCAAACCGACTTTCAACTTTATTAGAGCTCCATTTCTGTTTTGCTTCTTGTTCACTTCTCTTCTATGATGAAACCATTTTTTATGAAAACATTTTATTATATTCGATTTCTTCTATTCAAGTCAACAATTCTGCATAACAATTTGTTTTAATTCATTGCCCACATTCAGCAGCAGCACACAAATAAACGTTACGTTCAAATTTATTCAATCGAAAATTCCAAAACGCACACACACACTTACTAGTCTTATGAATGGCTTGCGATCCTTTCGGAAAATCGACTACTATTCCACATACATTGTAAATGACACGATTCATAGCATGTTTTTTACGTCAACAACAAACGAATTATGATTTTTACAAGTTGCAATTTGTTAATTTGTATTCCATATACTCATCCGGACAACCGGCCTTGTTCTCGGTGATTTACTTTCGAAGCCTATTTCAAATGTAATCGCAATTGTATGTACGAATAAAATAGTCAGTAAACCGCGAATGTAATTTCCAAGTGATAAGTAACCGAATTTCTTGAATCATTGCGGCTTTTCTACGCAAATGACAAGACAATTCACAAGAGTATGAATCTCATATCAATAAAATAAATGAAACAAATTAAATGTGTTTTTCTTCATGACATTCAAAAAATGCATGTTCTAAATGTGTCACCGGATATTCTTTTTAATGTGACTCACACTGTATTTTACATATCAAAACTCCGCGTTTCGTGGAGACTCCAATGTCTCTCTCTCTCTCTCTCTCTCTCTCTCTCTCTCTCGGTCTACCTTTTTTTTCAAATATGAAAAGTGGATTTATATCCATTGGTGGAATAGATGTAACATTGTCATTGTGGTGAATTCAGCACGCGAAATGGCAAAGAAGCACAAATCATTGTTTATTATCTACACGTGGTGACAAATGTTGATAATAATATTAACCGCATCATATGAATATACTAATGGTTTTTGCCGAAAATCCTTTCAAATATTGGCGCATTAACAATGAAAAATACTAAACTTCAGACAGACAAGAAGAGGTGCAAAAATTGATACCAATAAAAATGTTCCAACAAAAATTAGCATTTTACAATAAAAAAAAGCCTTTGACATTAAAAGTATGGTATACATTCTATCTAAAAAAAAGAGTTGTGTGTTCGAGAGAGTGAGAGAGAAGACAACGCAAATGCAAGGAAAAAAACAAAAAAAAAGTCACAAGAATTTTTGAATGGCGATTCGTATGTCCTTCAAATATCGAAACGAATTCATTCATTCATGTAAAGCATGCAATAAATAACAAATTAAAATGTATATATTTCGTTTCGATTTCCTTCTCACGACAGCGAAAAAAAAGTGCGGGATCGTTTGTTTTTTGTTCACTTGGCATCGAATCGAAAACGATTCGACATGCAAGATGGATTCTGTTCAAATAATTTCGTGCATTTTGTTTTCTGATAATAAAAAAAACGTTTTCATTGCTTAATGCACCGCGCGTTGCTCTAAATTCAAATATTTGAATTCCACTAAACATCGAACATAATCCACTTCGCCGCTCATCAATGGATTATCTTTTCGTTTAAGTGCTGAAATACATTTCAATCGTTCACAATGGCTGATTTATTCATAACAAAGTAGTCAAGTGTTTGTTAGTTTTTTTTCTCCTTCTTGTTGTGTCGCATTGTGTGAAAAATTATGTGTGCTGTAATATGTAGAGTTTAGAGTTGGCATTAAAAAAAGGTAGCAGCTTCTTCTTCCGAGTTCTGATCAACGAATGAAACAGAAAAAATACACACAAAAATTTGGTATTTACGATCTTCATCAAATGGCTTTATAAATTGCATAGAGTCAACTATCTAAAATGCTCGCATGTTTGATTGCAATGTAATTGCACACCGAATAGACACTTTGTGCTCAATTGGGTTTCAACAAACAAGATTTTAATCATTCGGCTCATGTGTTTCAGGCTGAAGCTCAGCATATTATTGGTTTGGTGAATTTTCTCTCTCTATCTCGCTCTCGAAACACCGCAAACATTAGGCACGATACAAGTGGAAAAGGTAAACTCAAACGGAGTGCAATGAGCAAAGCAAAAGCGAGAGAGACAAAAAAACAAACACACACACACACACATAGCCACACACTTAATGACATACGATCGAAATGAAACAAATTTGCCGAGAGTTCCATATTCGTTTGGCGATGCGAGAGTAGTACTTTGGCGGCATACTTGTATTCATGCATATATATAAATATATATACTTTTTTCATTCGTACGTTTGCTCTCGCTTTGGCGGACGAAATTGCAAATGCATTCGCACAACGGCGATATAATTTATACATTTTATTCATGCTTTTTCTGAATGATTACTCTTTTTTTTTCCTTTCTGTGCCGCTCTTTCTCGCTCGCTCTCATTTCCTATTGCTCTAGCGATTGCACCAACCTGATCACTTTAATACACATACCGCAAAAAATTAAAAGCGATGCATGAAAAAAAAATCACACACAAACGGCGCACGACGGATAATACTTTAGCACAACAAAAACGATAATCGTAAATTTATTATATCGGTTTTGGACATTTCCAACGAAGGAACATTTTTTCTTTTGCAAAAAGAGAGCGTACGAAAACTATTTTTCCACCCAAAGCCAAAGCCGAATAAAAGCCATCGAATCAAGTGTGTATACGAGTGGAGAAAAATCTGTTTTGGGCATTTGTCTCACGGAATTTCTATTGAATCGGTCATGGAATAAAAAACAATTTAAACAAGTGCAAAACAAAGACATTCTTAGGCAAATCAGTGGTTGAATTAACAACATCACCAAAAATTGCGCTATTGATTTTCCGCAGCAAAAAGATAGAAGAAGCAACAGGAGAAGATGAAGTCAATTGAACGATTAAAATGCAACGAAATTGGTTAACGGTGCCTCTGTGTGATCGAGCTCGAACCGATAAAATGCGTATTAAGATGCGATGCGGGAACGAAACATTATTTATTGCAAAATGATCTTATTCCAACTTGAATAGGGTTTGCATAGTAAAATGCAAATGAAAACCGAAGAGAGAGAGAGAGAGAGAGAGAGAGAGAGAGAGAGAGAGAGAAAAAGCGAACATTTAATACGAAGACATGGTTTTTTTCCGCGATATATTCAATATTGGCGATAAATTAGTTTTGCATGGACAATGGCATGGCGCGACCAGTAGCGCGTTTGACATTAAAATTCGAAGTGTGGTAATTTTAGCATTAAATATGCATATAAGTGACAATAAATTATCGTCGGCAAATTAGTTTCGTCATTTCCGTTAGTTCATATCGCCGCCTTTGATTCGTGCACACAACAAACACTGGCTAAATGTCCGTGTTCGCAAACCGAACGAAACGAATGAGCGCGCTCACCCGCTCGATCACCGACGAGATCACGACGGGGACCTTAATTACAGAATACATTTTTCACTCGAACGAGTAATTATTTTCTATTGACGAAATATGTAGATTTTTTTCTCTTCCATTATTCTATGCGCGTGAGCGCGCGAGAACGCGAATGATATAAGATAGTGATTCAAATAACGTGGCATTGTAAATGAATGGATTTAA